CTATGAACAACAGTCTTTTAGGCCTCACCCAAGGTATACATAGTGAAGCTGCATTCTAGTGAAGCAAACCATATAACACACTATAACTCAAGATCAGGCCTGTATAACGTTACTGCAAAGCTCCTGCCAGAAGCTACAGCTTCATTCCCTACAAAAAGGAAAACGCCAAGAGTTCAAACAATCCTTCCCAAAATCAGGCTCACCTGTAACTCCAGGACTTGCCACTGTTAACCAATTTCCTGCCTCATTTTAAAAACAGACCTCTGGTCATTTCTTCCGAAAGATGCATGTTTACCCATGGTGTGCATTCGGGTAGCAGCTAAATAACCTGGGGATCTCCTACATTTGGCCTCTTTCAAGAAAGAAGACACCGGTTTCAAGAACTTGGCTGGGTAGCTTATTCCACACTCCCACAACCCTTTGAGTGCTGACCTCCCCTTGGAATCCATACTGATCTCAGAAAACCAATGATGAAAAAACTCCCTCAAACTTTCCAGGAAGTCCAGAAGCTACATCCTAATCACTTCTGAAGAGAAACCAAACTGACATTTGATCATGTTTGTATGCGCAGAAAAAAAACAACATAGCAGATCAAACACAAAGCATAACCATATCCCATCCAATAACATAGTGAGTAACTTCTGTCAATAACTTCAGCAAAAAATCTGGGCATTCGGCACGCTCACTTCCACCAACATGCATCTGACAGTTTAGGAGCGTAAAGCAACACAAGGCACTGAAAGTACCTTTAATTACCCTGTATAGCCAGAGCAGCGCATCAGGTGCAAATCATGTGATGTGTTCTAAGAAAAATTCCCAAACCCAAATCTGCAAGGGCTAATAGTATAACAGCCAATACAAAGGCACAAGTCAAACCTAAGAAGCAAAACAAAAAACTCTTTTATCACTTGATCCCAGAGTGACTAGCAAAAATAAAAGCTTCACGGTTTTCTGTTGCCCTTTCCAACAGTCAGCACTTCCATTTTCTCCACAGCACACACGTGTTAAGAGCAACTAGCAGCCCCAGTTTTAAATGGCCATGTGTTTAACGCCACTGTAGGGCTTGGGATGCACTAGGCTATTGACACTGAACAGCAACCAGCTGTTTGTTTCAAGACAAGTAGTGCAATAAACTTAGAGCAAACCATGTATTTATTTAATCAGGTCAGTAACAACAGCTTTTTTCTTACCCATTTCAAACCAGTAACACCTAGCAACCACAATGCAGTGCTATGCATGTTAACTTGCAACTCGGTTCCATTCTGCACCAACACAGCTTTTTGCTAATTCACTTTGACACACTAACACCATATTTGTAAAATAACTGATTACACACTCAATTAGCCTTTACAATCTACTGAAGACTTCCATCCCAAAACACTTTTAGAAAATAATACAATACAACAACAACAAAAAATACTTGTGGGTGAGAAGACCAGAAGGCTATAAACCACTGAGGTGGGCGTCTTGGAAGACTTTCAGTCAGAATGCAGAAAAAGACATTCTGAACTTGACGTGCACTGCCCGGATTTAAAATGGTTCTCAATAGGAATCATCCACCACACCGTAAAATACTTACACCCATTCTACTATCATTAAACGAACATAGAACTCATTCATTCATTTAGCACCAAGAAAACTATACCACAGTCATAAGCGTGGGAACTGGGTATTACGTTTTCACTGATCACTTCATGCCAGCCAGGGTTATAGAAATTGTTTCCAAGAACTCATGCTTAAATGTTTGATCACATTGCTTACATTTTTTAAGACATTAATTAGGCCTTAAGACCAGGAGACAGAAATACGCATGTACGTAACCTGTTTTTAAAGGAGCTTACAAATACTATCATGCGTGCTAGATTCCACTTCACGCACGGCAAGAGCCTCCAACTCAAATCCCGGAAGACCTGACGATTTCTGGTTGGGGTTTCTGCCTTAGGAATCAATTAAGCAATTAGCCTAATTATTTTCTTAGACATGTATTGGATTTTTCCTTAAGGTCTTTAACAATTGATTCAAAACATCCACTTCATTAAAGAGTTTCCAATCTAACAGCACATTACAATTATGCCAGTTTTTTTGTAAATGAAAGTAATTAGTCCAGCTATGGAGCAGAGCTTCGGCTGCACAAAAACCAAAAGACAAACCCTCAAGGAGCTGAGCACGAGATGCCTTATACTCGATACCTTCTGCACATCTTGCTTTCACAAGACCTCAGCCTGTTTAACGGGCATGAACGGCAAGGAGATGCAGGCTGTTTGTAGGTCAAGGATGGGGACAGATCAAGGAGAGGGCATGGTGTGGTGCCCGGTTGCACCTAGCAAGAAAAATCGCCCCTCCCCCCAACTGTCCCATGGTTAAATGAGAAAGACTTACATTTCTAGCATTTTAAACTGTTTGGAAAAATATTCTAGCTGTATCTCAAGTAGTGGCGCTTTGAATACCATAACAAACATTTTAAAGAACAGCAGAATCCAATATCCATCATTTTTAGATGCTTCAAAGTTCATTAGGTCTTTATGGCTGGCATTACCTTTTTCTTGAAGAAAGCCCAATTTCCTATTCCTTTAGGTTCCACCTCTCTGCCGAGTCTTGATCAGTGCCTAATCCCAGAATTCCGCGTTAAGCAGGCCTACCTTCAGCTTCCCAAGGTTCCTCTTGTGAACCACAATAACTGAGGAGAGCCTACTTTAATCCCCTATTATAAAACACTCCACAATTAGAATTCACAATGAATAATCCCAGCACAAGATCTCCAACCCAGGCAGAACTTGTGTGTTTTAGCCTCCCCATAGGATAGTTCTTCAATGAGTAATAGAGCTCTAAAGGCAAATCTATTTTCGCTAGTGATTGAGGAACATGAAAAGGCAACATCATTTCCATATAAATGTTGACACAGCCTTATTAGATCTAGGCTACTTTATAGAGCACAGAGCACATTAGACAGAACTCGGGGACAAAATTAAGAGCTTCTCATATCGGGAAGATGTGTCCATGTAAACATAGCTTTTCAAAACCAGTACCCCTTCGTTCCAGCTGTACCAACACCAGGGTTCAGGAGATGTAAAAAAAAACATTCCCTTGCTGCTAAATGTAAAAGGCTCATCAATTCTGCTATAAAGCAGGAAGGGAACTTTAAATAAAGACAGGTATGTACTGACAGCATCTGCCCTCTGATACCCCTCTGGCTTGGACAAGGACGCCGCACGCTGAAGTAGGAGATGCAAAAGTGTCGTCTATATCAAGCAAGAAAAAATATCGTGCACTACCAAGACGTACATTAATCCGGTGAAATATGGGCCAGTCCATTTAGAAACTTTCTAGAATAACATTTCATTCTAAACTTCAACCGCTTCTATGGCTCAGAAAAGGCATGCATTCAGTGAATGGACTTTTGACTTGGGAAGACAGCACAAGCTTTCCACCACTAACATGTTTGAGGGGGCAAAAAAATATAGTCACCGGCAATTTCGGATAAGACGCGTCGAGTATAAATCGAGATGCATTCCACAGCAAACAACTGCGATAAGTGGATTGCATTACGAGAAAGTCACACATGCTCAGATGAAACAAAATTCAAAGGAGTACAAAATGTCAATTAAAACCGCTTAAGAACAGAGCTTCTACTGTCTCATCTCGCAAGCAAATTGAAGTGCGTAACTGCAAAATCTGTTTAAAATCTCTCTTATAAACGCAATATTTTCGGCCGCTTAAAAAAAGTTGTCAAACGAACATTAAAGAATTTGTTTTACCACGTATTCTGTCAAACAAAACCCATGTCACGTCTAACGCCTCAGAACAAATACCGGCAAGTGAAAACAAGGCACCGATTTAACTAAGCAGGGAATATCGACTGTACCTACAGAGATAGGTTAGCAGGGAAAATGATTAATGCAGTTTGGACGAAGCGAGCCCTTTGGGATAAGAGATCACCGTGAAGTGAATCCTGATCTCCCAGTAACACCAAATATACCGATTTAAATGGATTAGCATCAAGAAACATTCGAAATGGGGGAGGGTAGCCCGGAGAAGGGCGACATTTCAAATGTGAACATTTGGAAGACAACCGAAATTTGACGTCTGTAAAATTACAGCACTGAACTAAAATATGCATTGCAAAAAAGCTTGTGGAATACTCCACAGATGTAACACATAAAGCCCCTGTGCATCAGAAAATAAGCAAAGGACTTCCAAAGAAATTAAGCAAAATGTTTAAAGAAGATAAAAATAAATATGCTGTATTACATTTAGAATATATATATAATTGTAACTACTGACCAAGACATTTTCAGCAAGCTACTGCACGTGTCGCGCGAACTTAAAACGTCTAGTGCGCCTGACCTTTAAATATAATTTAACCGACATCTTCCCCGGCTTGCCAAAATATAAAATACAGCAAATTTTTCTGAGCGATTCCCCCCATTGCAGCAATGCGCGCCCCCGGGGCCGACTCGAGGGCAGCCAGGGAGCGCGCGGCACCGACCTCAGCAGCAGAACCCGGGGCTGCCGGGAGCGCGCGCCTCCCCCTCCCCCCACAGAAGAAAACAAGAAAAAACGCAGAGGAGCACGCGCCCGGGAGCCCCGATCTCATTGGCTAAAAGGAAGCAGCGCCGTTCACGTGATACACCCTCCGTAAAATAAACAGGAAAACAAAGCCTGATATATCTTTGTTACCTAGCAATAAAGAGATAGATAATATAACCAGGGAGCAAACGAATTCTGCCTACAGGACGCCCCGTACCGTACGGACACTTCCACTATATAGGCAGTATAACGCATTTCACAGCCAGAATCTGGCGACCGGAACGGAGGGAGGCAGGCTCTCTTGACGGAAGAGCTGCACTAGACAAAAAAAAAAAGCCGCTCCGTGCTGCTCCCGACGGTTAGAAACAGAATTTTTTTGCGTTGGGACTACGAGAGAAACAAAGTATATTTTTCCAAACCCCGGAGTCCCGGGCGCCGCGTCCGGTCCTGCATGCAATGTGAAACGAGCTTACCTACACAGTGAATAAGTTTATGCCGCCACGAGTCAAGTTCCTGCCGAAAGCCGCGTCTCTCGAGCGTGCATTGCTGCCTCTTACACAGACTCGCCATTTTCTACCGGCCCCACCCGCCGCCGCGCACGTTTTGCTGGGTGCGTCCCAGCGTGCACGTCATCGCCACGGCCCTTTTTTGTGTGTGTGCTGTGTCTAGGGGTGGAGTTTTCTGCTGCGGCATCTTCTACTCGCCTCCGCCGCCCCCCAAAAAATAAAAGCTTAATATTCTTGATGGATGAAAAGTGACGCGTGATTAAAACTGGAAGGCAGCCCATATTCCCGGCCTTGCACGCGTGCGCGTAATTTAATTAAGGGGATCCCTGTCCCGTCGGAGGAGATTCTGGGACACTGTCAAGGGCAATTACAATGTAGCGGTGCGAGTGTTACTTGAATTTGATGAGACCGCATTGTGGTCATTTTTAATAGATTAATTCCTCAAGCCCGAATTTGGCTTTTAGGAAACTCATGTTATATTTTTATGGCTCTCCATAAATTACTACAATCGTAACTTTAATAAAGTACTACTGTACGAATTTCATTCAACCCATTGCCGCTTACTAAACAGCGCATTTTCAATATAACGGAGCGCTTTAAATCAAAACCCTCTACACTCTATAAACTGTATTAGATGGGAGTTAAAGTGAAAAACTTTCATATATAAGGAATCCTTATATATGAACATCGGATAAAACGGCAGTGCAAAAAGATTAAGTATCCTGATTAATGAAAATGCACCATGGGTACTAAACTTGGCGACGTAAAATCTACACACATATAGAATTGAACTATATTAACATTAACAAAAACTGTGGGTTGAAGACAGTTTCCATGATGTCTTGCTAGAGGTTTATTGGAGGAAAAGGTTCATACACTAAACTGCCTATCAAAATTAATTCATTACTTATTTCTATTTGTTTTTAGACAAACTTAATGTTTTTGCACCATTTTGATTAATAGATCACTCGATCTTGATATGCTAGAGTGACATCTACTGTTGCATGAGCACTGAATCACCTCATTAGTGGGCATTGAACAGGCATAAAGGTGGCTTAACTTGTTGAATGTCAAGTCCAGTGAAACTCAAGAACAGAGATGTCAAAAGGAACTAATATTCTGAATTTAAGAGATTAATGCCTTCATGCCATCAGTATGCTAGAGACTGGACTAAGTCACCTGAGGTGGACTTGACAGGGGTGATACATGTGTAGAACAATGCGCAACCTTTTATTGTCAATGGGCTGATGGTTTGGTTCAAGTGTGATGGTCTGGGTTGGAAACTCCTTTCCCTACAGATCTCCACTTGTAGCAATGGAATGCAACCTGTTCACAGGGAACTTCATGACCTCACTGCCTTCTCTCATGCAGCTGATGTGACAAAGTCCAGCACGATAATATTCTCTTTGTCAAACAACAGCTTCCTTGCAAGACGAGCCACAACAAGGATACCCTAGTCGTTAGACTTGGGACTTATTGAGCAGCTGTGGGATGAGCTGACATGAGGCATCTAGGACTCAGAGATCAGTGAACAGACACCTGCTTGTCCAGACTGTAGGGGAGGAAAGGGACAGAGTCCTATAAGACAGCATCTGTAACCTAGTGTGTCATATGTGCTTTAGATATACACCCTGTATTGCTTCCAGCAGTGTGCACACATGCTACCAGCCTGTGACTTTCACAGTAAACCCATTGATGACAAATATGAATCTTCCACTGCAATGTCTGTTTTAAAACATGTCAGTACAGTTGTTAAAAAAGATTTCCCTGATAATGTAAGATTTGCTTCTTACTATGCCCTTTGCAATATCTACACCTCATTTTGATCCCTGTGCAGCAGTACAGTTGTGCTTCTTGGATCTCAGTTTATTTTGAGATCACCCTTGCTATTATAAGCAAAAACAGCCTGTGAAAAAAACTTTTGATGTTTGTAAACCAAGACCACAGAAAGAACAGGCGATGGACTTTAGAGCATTGAACAACACACATTTATCTCCCTTTCAACCTAACTCAATCTAGTGGTCTAAATGCATATATTTTACTAAAAAACACTATTCGGCTTTGTAATACTTAGGCCACACACTCACAGCCCACTCAGTATTGATGGAACGGAAGTGGAAACAGTCACCAGCTTTAGGTTTTTGGGAATTCACATCTCTAAAGATCTAACCTGAACTGTGAACACTGACTCTATCATGAAGAAGGCTCAGCAGCGCCTTTATTTCTTGAGGCGCCTCAAGCGATGGGGGATGCCAATACATGTGTTGGTGAACTTCTACCGCTGCACTATCGAGAGCGTCCTCACCAACGGGATCACCGTGTGGTATGGCAACACCTCTTCGCGAGAAAGAAAGGCACTGCAGAGAATGGTCAATATGGCCCAGAAGATCATCGGCTGCGGTCTCACCGAGATTAAACAGCTCTATGAGGACCGCTGCCGTGGTAGAATTCTGGCCATCACAGAGGACAGTCACCACCCTGGGCATGAGCTCTTCACCCCACTGCCCTCAGGCAAGAGATATAAGAGCATACGGACACTTACCACTAGATTCTTCAATAGCTTCTATCCACAAGCAGTGAGACTGGCGAACACATTTAGCCATCCCCCTCGGACCACACCCACACCATCACCATCTACCTCATTGTAATTTATTTATTGTACGTCTCCAGTCATTGTTTACACGTCTGTATTGTTTACATTCAAACTGCCTACATGTTTACTTGCACATTGTCTATTGTTTGTTTGTACATTGTCTTGATGCACTGTTTGCACTTGTTTTGTTTTTTTACACTTGTTTTACAATCGAGAGACTTTCTGTAAGTAAGAATTCCATTGTACCAGTACCGGTTACATATGGCAATAAAGTTCAAGTTCAAGTTCAAGTTTAAGTAAGACCCATTCAGCACATTAAGTCATGAAGTAAATGATAAGTGAAATGTACAAGGAAATTCAGTATATCTATTTGGTGTTTCATTTTAAATTTATATTAAAATAAAAATCAGACAGCATGTGCAGGAGTGGTTAGGGATCCAGGCTCATAACTGCAAGGTTCTGATTTCAGATTCCAGGTAGGGCACTGCATTTGCATTGAAAATCTCTTCCAGGCACAGGTAACTCCCAGCTATCTAATACAGTACAGTATGTCACTCTTTGCTATGCATCCAAGTAGCGCGTTTGCCTTTGACCGCTTCTGTGCTTTGCCTACTGTAAATACCAAAGCTACAATTCTGCAATCTTCTCCTTGCGGATTTACTACGTCTGTGCGACCCACAGTATAATTCTCCCATACTTTACCGTTTGCTTTACTTTATGGCTGTATGCAACCCTTCACACGTCCATATATCATTCGAAGATCTGAAGTAGTTCAAGTGATAAAAGCTTGGGTGCTACCGCGGTTGTAATGTAGGTGCATCTTGATGAGATAGAAGACATTTATTGTATTCACTCCTGCGGAAGCAGAGAGGCGGTGAGTCCTGACCTTTGTGGAGCAGCTAGATTACAAACTAACCACATCTGTAAGGCAGAAGAAATCGGGGTATGCAGAAATCGAAAGTACTCATTTCGTCACTAAAAAAAAAGACATCTGTAGATGAAAATACATCCGACTCTGTGCTAAATTCATACAGCATACTGAATGAATTTAGTTAATTTAATATATATATATACCTGAAAGGTTTTCAGAGAACCTTGTAAAACTGCCATACGCCAACTGAATGTTTAGCGGTTGCTTAACCTGAATGAAAATAAAGAAATATCTAATCACTAGATAGATATATAAAGTTTCACAACGTAATTAAAAACGAATCCCATAATTAATGCCTCTGCGCAAAAGCCACGACCAAACATATCCCTATTAATTAAATCCACAGGCACGGCTGTGTGATGCCCCTAACAAAAATGTCAGCTATCAGACCTCAGAAGGAAACAATCCAGCCAATCAGGATTCGCTTTAAATGCAAAGTAACGCAAAACGGACAATGGGACAGTGAGACTTTAGGAAGAGCGTGAAGCCTCGCCGCTAGAGGGGGCGGGGTCAGGAGAGCCTAATTTTCGTCACAGGGTGTACTGTATAGCAGTTATATTGCACCATTGCCTGAATTGTAAATATAAAATTGGTGGATTTATGTGCTTCTGAAGTCCCAAGATCATAAAACAGGTAAATAATTTGTTTATCTTATCACGCAGTAACGACGGTCAGTTGGATCATCTTGCAGCTGTGTGTTTAAATTTGCTGAAGTAGTTTATTAGTACTGTTACTGTAAGTGATATGCCGGCGACACGTAGGGAAATGACTTTGTTGCGTTACTGTGGTAACATTTCAAGGGATATACAACAAAAACGTGCACTGAATGCCAGGAGTAACCATTTCGTATACGGAGGTTATTAAGTCTGGAGCTGTCAGTATCTTTTAACCAACAATAATAGCACTATAGACGAAAGAACAGCTATTCACCTGCTTAAATAATTTATTCCATTATGCCTACATTGCTTCGGCTTTACATCACTCGATTTCTCTATTCATTTGACTGAGCTGTGCTTCTCATGCAAAATGGGGTGCAGTATAATTTGCGCTCGATTTAATGGTGAAATCAACATGAACAGTCCCGAGTCACGGTTTAAAGTTGAAATAAGAAGGCATCGCATCCTTCATGACCGAGACTAGTTTATTCTTATTGCTCTTATTTTAATCTGTAACGTTCCTTAACAAGAACGCAATTGCAGCAGCGCAGCTCCGCTACCCACAGAAGCGCTCTGGGAGTTGTTTCACAGACCTGATCTTTGACCGCTTGGAAGACTTCAGAGACAAAGCAGCCGTCAGGAAGCAGCATCAGAGTCATCGGAGGAAAACCTGTTCCTATGTTCTTCTCTGGTCTGTAACAGCAAAAGATTAATGGTACCCAATACAGTACCAGCGTGAAAATATGTTTGTTTTCCTCTCACACAGAGTTTGTTTTAAGGCACTGATGTGTATATGGATGAGACAGTGGTACCGGTTTGTGACAGACATTAAGGTACTGACAATTGTGATTCTCTCAGGCTGGTACTGTATGTTTAATCTTCTGGCCCCTCAGGGAGTTAAAATTATTCCTTCCTAGAGTTCTCCCTGCATGATCCTTAGTACTTTTGCCACCATCTTAGTGAAACTGTACTGGTTTCAAACAGTGCCACAATGACTCCCACTTCTCCCTCCTCAAGCAGCACAAATGTAGCGCAGACATGGTGTGGTGGTGGAGCAGTTTCATAGAGCTGTTGCCACCAGTGCTTTGAGTTCCTGTGTCCATTCTCTCAGGGGGCAGCCTTTTTAGACAGCAGCGTGGACTTGTGATTAGGGCTCCGGACTCCAGACTAGAGTGCTGCAGGTTTTGAACCCAAACAGGACACTGGTGTTATTCACTTGAATGAGGTGAATTGATCACATTGCTCGTGCAAGAGCCCCACTGCGTAAATGGATCACCGGCTCCTTATTATAGACGAGAGCGTCTCTTTTTTTTTACTTCTTTGGTTGAATAAAGGATTAAGGACTATCTCTTTTGATTTCTGCATGTGCAATTCCTAATATGCGTGTTAAAGAAAAAAACAAATGTGCAAAGTGATCTTTATTTTTAACATTCGTGCCCCCCCCTCCCCCACTAATGCCAGTGGCAGGACCTGTGAAAATATGATGTGTGGCCACTCAGAATTGAGAGCTCTGCTTCTAGTCTTTGAGGGGGTGAGCTGTTCTTTCTCTGGGCGTCGTGTCTCTGAGACTCAACCTCTTCTGCTGGCTGCTGTGTGCCCCCACAGGCAGTCTGCGACATGACCCTGACCAGAGGATCCTTCACCTACTCCAGCGGAGAGGAATATCACGGCGAGTGGAAAGAAGGCAGGTGGCTTTAAATGTTTTAGAAAAGCGGTCTAGGATGGGTGATGTCTTCGTCCTCCGTTTGAGGACAGAGGCTCCCGGGTCTGAACTGCAATTACTTCGCTTGGCCCATCCCTATGCTTTATCCATTCAGCCATTTTCGAACTGCTAAATCCAATCCAGGGTTTAGCCTGACCCCGCAAGACAGGCAGAGGACATCCTGCACCGCATGACAAATCGGCACAAGGCAGACACAGACACACACGCACACCAAGGTCAATTTCCACCCACCATTATGTCTTTGAACCACGGGAGGTAACCCATGGGGGAAAAAAAAACTCAAGAAGAACATGCAAACTCCACACAGATAGCAACATAGGAATTAGAAACCGGGGCTCTTGTGCTGGACTCTCTGTCATTCACACAGAGAAGAATAATTGGGTTCATTTGTGGTTGGCATGAAACCGAGCGTGGTCAAAACTGCTTAAAGAACATGTTCCTGAAGTTGAACGTAACTGCAGATCTTAGAGATTGCTAAGTAAAATGTGCTTTTTTTCTGTCAGATGGAAAACATTGCCCAAAAGCTTAAATAACGTACCCTAACAGAGCCTTCAAAGATAACAGCCTCTTGTTGGAAGCAGATACTTACATAACTCACAGTTTAAATCAGTCCTTACAATCATCTTTCTTCTAGCTTCAGTCAAGCTCCATCAGTCACTGTGCCTTCTCACCAGTCAAGGGTAATCTGCCCTTTATTCATAACAGAATAGGAACAGGCGCTCTGAGGCAGCCTTTACTTGTGTGTTTGTAAAAGCATCGTGTTTCCATTAGAACAAAGCTGGGGAGAAGTAAGTGCTTCTCATTGTCATGAGTTTCTTTGTAACAGACAACACCTAACAAAGAGCACGTGCTCTTAAATGTTAGAAAATGCAGGCGACATGGAATTTGAATTTCCTGGCTGTCCAATGCAGCGTATGTTCTGATCTTTCCCAGATTTGTGCATGCTGCAGTGTTAGCTGTGGGTAGCAACTTAGTATTGTCTGTACTTAGTGTTCTTGCTTTCAAGGACAGGGACTGACAACAAAAGCTCCTTGAAATAAGCTAAATCCTAATTAGCTGGTAAACCTTGACGTCACACAACATGACTAACCTGATGTCACTGTGCAAGGGTTTCTGCAGGGACTGGAAAGGTTTCCAGAATCACTTCAGTCAGATTCTTCTGTGTAAAATGGTGTTATGACAGAAGATATAACTAATAAAAATAAAGTTACTTCTAAGAACACTTAATATTCACAAAATAATTTGATCTGGTTAAAATGTAGTAGATATAAGCTGCATTTTAACATTGGCCTCGGGATTAATTCTTTAATATGAAATGCCCTTTTGATGTTATTACATACTTGTTGTTTCTGGTGTTTATATTTTTAGTAGTATTAGGGATACATAGTTTGCTGTCAGTGTATGCATGTTGGAATCTATAGAGAGCAGCTAAGGACTTTAAGAAATCAGCCAGTTTCAAGATTTCAAGATTTCTTTATTTGCCATATACAAGTGTATTGGAATGCTTACTCATTCAGCTGTACCCAGTAACATTAGAGAAAGGGAAAAAAAATCACAAATGACGAACAGACATGGACAATAAATTCAGACAATAGACATTAAAATACAGCCAAGACAGGACATAGTGCAAAAAGTGCAGTACCTCACCTTGCTGGGATCAGGAAGATTGCCGCAAAGCTGAGCTGGTGTCCTGGATTGTATTGAAAACAGGCCCTTACATTCCTGACATTCCTTTCAGGAGCTGATTTTTGAGCTAAACAAAATCCCTTCTAAAGGGGTTTCAGATCAGGGAAAGGGTTACAATCCTAAATACTAACAGATGGTAAACCTAATTTAGCTAGGAGAGAATTTTTTTTTTACCATTAAGCCCCTCTCGCACAATGCTGTGTACAGGGATGTCTCTGTGTCAGCTTATCCTGTCAATCCATGTTACCTCTTACCTGAACACATACCTTTCAATCCACCATTGCTGGGATTCCCAGTCCTGGCCTCCGGGTTTTCGATCCAGCTGAGCTCCTTCCTTCATTGAACTAACGGGGGACTAGATTTGGAGCCCTGTAAATGTTTTTCTTTTTTCCCGTAGAGTTAGAGATGTTTAGTTCTGTACAAAAAGCAATAGGTACTGTAAATGGTAACCTCCAACATGTTTAAGAGTTGAGTTAAGAGAAGAGCTCATATTAATCCTATTTTTAGACCAGTTATGTTCAGTTATGTAACAGCAGGACTGGGCGCCCCCCCACCGTTAGAAAACTTGGTGAAAATGATGAGATTTGATTTGAGCAGGTGATTTTTTTTCCTGTTCATGACATTTGTAAGCGTTATAGAAAGGAAATGGCATCACTATAATTGCTTCTGACAAATGTGTGGAATAGGCTATATGATTTAAATGGAAAATTTGAAAACTAAAAGAAAATAACTGGGATGTACTTCCAGAATGGAAATATACAGGTACAGTTGAATGTTTCCTATCACAGTGTTTTTCTTGCTAAGTGGCAACATTTCCAGGTGCTGAAATATGATCAAAATATGAAGTTCCATTTTCTATGGATGGATGAAGTGTCAACCACCTGTCAGGTGGAAAGAGTTATCTGACTCAATTAGTAGATCTGCCAATGCGTCTGTTTCCAGGGTGCCAAATGTGTCACCCATGCAGCACAACCACAACGCAAAACATGAGCAGTGACAGTGGCAGTAGAGTAAGACCACTGTGGTTGACACCACATCACACATGATCATCTCTGATGAGTCAGATCACTCACAACAGACCTTTTAGATCAGCTGGGCATGCTAGAATACGACATCATGTGGGATTCGCATGAAGGGGGCAGGATTGCAACATATCGGCAGGTGAATTGATCTTTGCATCTCTCAAGTTCAAGTGTATTACAAAGACGGTGTCATCAACCATCATATTGAGCTCTGTTCCACTGTGGGGGTAGATTGAGTTTTCCAAGGTGACAGCACAGTGCCCATCCTTACCATTACTGGCCATCTCCAGAGGAAGAATATACAGCTCACACTTGCCTTGACAAAACCCCAGGACCTGTAACCCACAAGAAATGCAAAGGGACAGACTCGTCCAACACTGCCAAATGGCCCCATAGTACCTTCAGGACTTGGTTGTTTTTCTAACACAAGGATCCCTGCTGAGCTCACTCAGGTGATCTGTGCCAGGTTTGTCTTGTTGCTAAGAAAGGACCACACCATTACTAGTGTCTTGAGTGGTATTACTCTTCACCCTCATGTGAGCACTTTCGCCTTAGGATGGCTATTGATTGATCGTTTCCAGATGTTGCAAACCTGTGATAGCGTACCTGCAACATCTCTCTAAACTATTAGGAGCCCCAGTCAGATGAACAGGCTCTCACTGTGGCATAGGGTTGCTTTGAGGAGCACAAGACAGACTTTACCTTCCCAGGCCACTTCTCAATCCTACTAAAAATGAAGAATCACTGGAACATGTGACCCCATACACCATTACCTTTGTCACAGCCTCACTAGAAGTAATTCTTCAGAAAAAGACAGCTGGGACTAGGCTGCACACACTTCATTTAGGTTCTGCACATTATTATTATTACTGTGTATTATTATTGTGTAAGAGTTCCAAATATGTTGGTCAGGGAGTGAACTGTCTTTTGGGTCTTAGTTCCTGATCTTCGTGTTCCTGGCTCACCAGGTTCTGTTCTTGTTCCAGCAGAGCCTTTAATTCCAGTGCAAGTTCAATTATTTAAACAGAAGGCTGTTATTTTAATATAAAAGAGCTTTCAATGTCTAAGAAGAAGGCTGAAACGTAACCAACTGGGCCTTTGGAGAATGGAAAAAAATACTCATCCTGGGAGAGTTTGATACAGTGTCTATCCTGTATTCCCAGCTGTGTGTACTCGCCATAAACTATGTATTTAGAGCTGTTTGGACATAAGGGAGCTCCTAACAAGCAAGTGGAGAAGAGACCGCATTAACTTCTGCATTTGAAACAATATATTAGAGTTCAGTTTGTAAATAAATGTTTATTTTAACAGACAAAGGGGTACCCCAGGACCAAAGCTGGGTAGCCCTGGTTTTGTTGGCTTTAAATACAAGATGAATATAGATAGATAGAAAATTCTTTATTAATCCCGAAGGGAAATTGATGTGTTACAGCAGTCCAGCCCAAGACAAGCAAAAAGACATCAGAATAGTTCTAAAACAAAAGACAACAAAATAAATATGACATAAATAAATAAAAAAAATACATAGGTGTGTGCAAAATGTGCTGATAATAGTCACTGTAAAAACAATAGAATATGTGCAAAATGTGCATAGGTTTATACAGACTGATTGTCCAAAAAGTACAATGGAGCAAACATACTGTCCATAGACGAGCAAATGAAGGGCTAACAGTCCTAGCCTAGGGCACCGTTATACACCCTGACAGCCACCGGGAGGAAAGACCTGCGGAAACGTTCCCTTGAACACCGTACCTGGAGCAGTCTATTGGTAAATGTGCTCCGCTGCCCAGTAACAGTCCCATGAAGCGGATGAGAGGTGTTGTTCATGATGGCTGTGAGCATTCTCCTCTCAGCCACCACCTCCATGGGGTCAAGGCTCATCCCCAACACAGAGCCAGCCTTCTTGATAAGTTTATTTGCATCTTTTGTCATGATGCTGCTGCCCCAGCACACAACAGCATAGAAGATGGCCGCCGCCACCACTGATTCATAAAAAATGTGTAGCAGTGTTCCACACACACCTGAGCCGCCTAAGAAAATAGAGTCGGCTCTGACCTTTCTTGTACAGGGCGTCAGTGTTACCAGACCATTCCATCTTATCATCCAGGTGTACCCCTAAGTACTTGTAGGACTGTACCCCGTCTATGTCCTCACCCTGGATGGAAACAGGGTTCAGCGGAGACTTATTCCTTCGGAAGTCCAAGATCATTTCTTTGGTCTTGCTGGTGTTAAGCTGGAGATGGTTAAGATGAC